TAGGTCTGGAGACTGGCTAGGCCACTCCAGAACCTTGATATGCTTCTTACGGAGCCACTCCTTGGTTAAAATCTCACAATACATGGCCCCTGTCATCCTCTCCTTAATACAGTGCAGTCGTCCTGTCCCATGTGCAGAAAAACACTTCCAAAGCATGATGCTTCCACCCCCATGCTTCACAGTAGGGAAGGTGTTTTTGGGATGGTACTCATCATTCTTCGTCCTCCAAACACGGCGACTGGAATTAAGGCAAAAAGTTCTATTTTGGTCTCATCTGACCACAGAACTTTCTCCCATGACTCATCTGGATCATCCAAATGGTCGTGGTCAAACTTAACACGGACCTGGACGTGTGCTGATTTAAGCAGGGGAACCTTCCGTGCCATGCATGACTTTAAACTATGACGTTTTAGTGTATTACCCACAGTAACCATGGAACCAGTGGTGCCAGCTCTCTTCAGGTCATTGACCAGCTCCTCCCATGTAGTTCTGAGCTGATTCCTCAACTTTCTTAGGATCATTGATACGCCACGAGGTGAGATCTTGCATGGAGCCCCAGTCCGAGGGAGATTGACAGTCATGTTTAGCTTCTTCTGTTTTCTAATAATTGCTCCAACAGTTGATCTTTTTTCACCAAGCTGCTTGGCAATTGCCCTGTAGCTCTTTCCAGCCTTGTGGAGGTCTACAATTTTGTCTCTGGTGTCTTTGGACAGCTCTTTGGTCTTAGCCATGTTAGTAATTGGAGTCTTACTGATTGTGTGGGGTGGACAGGTGTCTTTATGCAGCTAACAGGTTTTTCTGATTTAGAATAATAAGTGGAGTGGAGGTGGACGTTATAGAGGAGGACTAACAGGTCTTTGAAGGCCAGAACTGTTGCTGATTGACAGGTGTTCAAATACTTATTTGCAGCAGTAACACACATAAATTATTTTTAAAAAATCATACATTGTGATTTTAGATTTATTTTATTTTTTTAGATTATGTCTCTCACAGTGGACATGCACCTAAAATGAAATTTTCAGGCCCCTCCATGATTTCTAAGTGGGAGAACTTGCAAAGTCGCAGGGTGTTCAAATACTTATTTTCCTCACAGTATATTTATATATACAGGTGCTGGTCATACAATTAGAATATCATGAAAAAGTTATTTATTTCAGTAATTCCATTCAAAAAGTGAAACTTGTATATAATATACATTTACCTACATTTGTAAACACTCCGCTCTGTGAAGCATCCAACCCCCCCCCCCCCCCCCCCCCCCACACAACAAC